GAAATCTAAAAGATCTAAAAAGAAAAAAAAGTAGCACTTTTTGACCCAAATTCTGAAAAAAAGAAAGAAAAGATGAGAAAGTTACTGACATATACTAGTCTGAAAAGGTTTAAAAAGTCATTTCTAAGTGTTTGGGACTCCAGAGAACCACAATGAGTCATTATCCACACATGGAGAAACCATGAAGCAGTGGGGAACCTTCCCAGGAGCGGCTGGAAAGAACACCAAGACTCGTCTCACATTTGCTAAAAGCATCTTGATAAGTGTGCACTGTGCATATTGCATTACATGTTAGTACACTGATGAGACGAAGGCAGAACCTCTGGATGGTGCGTGTTCTGTTCACCTGGCATAAAACTAACGCAGCACTTCAGAAAAAGAACATCTTACTGAGGGCGAAACATGGAGGCGGAGGTGCTATTGTCAGGGGCTGCTTTGAAGCAGCCACTGAAGAAACTCTGAATCTCTACGTGAAAATCCTGAAGAGGAATTTCTGGCCATTAGTTTGAGACCTTACAAAACAAAAACCTGCTTCTTGCATCTGTCTTTTTTTTTTTTTTTTTTCGACGTCAACACTTGTTTAGTGATCTCAAACATTTAAGCTACAACAAAAAAGCCAAACAAGCTAACTCTGTAAGGGGGCAAATCCTTTTCACAGGACCGCACTGCTACTAGAGGAATAGTGCATTAATGTTTGAACATGGATGATATAAAGGGGATATTAGGTGGGCTCTGATGAGTTATGGTTGTTTGAAGGGGCCCCAAATCAAACTCAGCTTAAGGTCCCGGACAGCCTTGGACAGGCTCGGTTCACAAATCAAACAAGCGGAGAAGCGAGTTTCTAACTTAGATGACCGGCAAGGTGAAAGAAGCCATCAAACGGATTATTCTAAAGATCATGACTCCTAGAACAAACGCTCCCGTCTCTGGCTGCTCAACATGGACGGCACATGCATGAGCTCGACTGTAAGGTGGCAGGAAGGACGATCATAAAACACCACATGTGGGGCAGCCATAATTGAAAATGATGGTCCTTGGAGTTGGCTCATGAAGAGATGCGCGCACACACACATACACATACTGAGACACACACACACACACACAAATCCCCAGGACAAACCATATGCCAGGTAGCAAGAAACCCATCCTCACCTAACTACACCCTGCACAAGCAGATGAATGTTAAACCATTTTAACTGCAGCAGAAGACACAAAATGGCTGTCAGCAAAAAAAAAAAAACACCTCCCCTACTCTCCCACTGTCTTCCTCCTTCCCCTCTCCTCATCTCCCCACCTCCGTTCTCTCCCTCCCTTCTCCCTCTGCTACCACTTTCCTTCGCCCTCCACCTCACTCCCTCTCCCCCCCACCCCTCACTTCACTCCCTCTTTCTCTCAGAGCGCTCTGCCAAAAGGTGCTCCAGTGCCGATATTCTGTTCACAGAGACTGCCAACAGTTAGATTTGTCCTTGGATCCCGTTCACATTCCCTCCCTCCCCTCTCCTCTCCCTGTGATCCTATTTCGACCTGAGGTCCTCAGCCCAGAAGGGGATACACCTAATCGATTTCTCATGCTTTAATTTAAAGGTGGCACAGGCATCTTGTTACCTAATAGGGGAGTAACAACAGCCAGCTTGGTACTTTTTATGCCGGGGAGAAAAAAAGAAAAAAAAAAAAAGATGAAATTGCTGCCCTGTTTTGAGTGGGGGAGGGGGTCTGAAAGTGCTAACGAGACAGGATCGATAAAATTACCTCTATTATCCATCCTTCAACATGGTCATGCACTGCCTGCCCTTTATCACCCACATGAGCTCACTTCCACAACTTCACTCCCGCACGTTCAGGAGAGCTGACCGAACGTCGCCTCTGCTCCCTCCACCCTCCAGCTGCGCTCGTCTTCGGTGGGATCTGGACCGGACCGCGGTTTTTCAAAGGCCGATATTCTTCCTTCATCAACGGCACAGCACTAGTACGTGCATGAACTCATTTCGATTCTATTTTCTCGTACCCAGAAAATAAAAAACCGGACCAGGTATTGATCCAGAGAGCACAGACTGGAAGAAACGTGCATGTTCTAGCATTTCTGCATCGGGGTGTAATGCGTTTATGCTACAATGTATCTATTATGCACTCGTCTTTAGGCTCAATTCACAGGTTTTCGACGAGTTGGCACTGCAGACTGAGGTGGCCGCTGAAGACGGCTGACTTTGTGTCTGGTTGAAAGTGTCAGTGACGACTCAGTCATGCTTTTCAGATCACTGTCCTGTTAAGATACCAAATGAACAGAACCCAGCAGCTTTTTAACTTTAAACGATTTGGAATATCAAAGAATTTATAATGTGTTTCACTTTAACAAGGCCCCACACTTCAGTGAAGTGGACCAAAACACTGTTTGGAAGAAAAACAGTCCCGCAGCATCACAGAACCCCCACCATGCTGTACAGTGGGTATGAGATGCTTTTCATTCTTTGTTTCAGCCCTGACTCATTCATGGTGTTTCTTGCCAAAACACTCAGTCTATGGCCGACTCTCATTTTGCTACTTATCTTTCATCGTTAGCCTTCGACCCTACTTTTCTCTGGGAGTCCCGATAGTTTCTGTCACGTAGGGAGGAGGCGAAGGGGCCAGAGCTCCAACAAAGTGATGTTTTAATAGTGGAAACTACAGAACAAATCAGATTTATTACAACAGTACATGAGGGTTTGGATCCTGGGGCTTTTGGACTCGTTTATGCAACTCCAACAGAACAAATAGTAAATTCAACAACCAGAAGGAACTTAATGTTATTTTACAGCCTGAAAAAGTCAGAAACATGTGTGGGGGGGTTTTATGCTTCACGTAATGTGATGCTATGCGATCAACTGTCGACGATAAATGAAGATGAAGGAAGTGGAAGAAACGTCTGATTGAAGCGCAGTGTTTGATTAGTGAGGTGAACATTTCCCTGGACCAAAGACCCACAGACATCAAAGTTCTGCTCAATAGATGCCGAGCAGAACCTTGAATCCCATTTCCTGGTGTCACCTCTGACCCTTCACACTAAACTCAGGAGGTAAAGACAGACAAGCTCTAATTGTTTCTGTGATCCGTTATCAATGAAATGCAATATAAGATCCATGAATTAAAACAGGAGAAATTAACCACGGTATTTTTAAATGTCCTTCAAAAAGAACTGAGGTTTACTGATCTGACTGCAAGCATGTCAAATTGCGAAGCATGTCAAACTTTGAAATATTGAATTTAGTACTTTTTTACACAAGGGCGAAAGCTAAAATTACATATAAGTAGACCTAACCAGGTTAGAAACTTGTTATTGCGACTGAAATAAGTAGAAACTAAATACAATGACATGCATCAAACTACATCCTAGCAGTGGTTTGTGTAACAAGCAAGAAAACAACATCCAATGCAGGATTCCTATCTGTTTACATGTCACATAGAGCCGTACGTTCAAGCACGTGTAATCGGCAAGAGCTGATGCTGCATCATCTGATCACTATCCTGCTGAAAGATCAAGAGGCAACAGAGGCCGCCACATTTCTTAGTACTCTAAAGAGTCCAAGGCCACTGGAACAGAAAGTGGCTCACAGCATCACAAAACCTCCGCTCTGTACTTAAGAGTAGGTACGAGGCGATGTATTCATCCTTTGTTTCATGCACCTGGATTGGCTGTTTGTTGGGGGAAAATCTGATCTTTGGTCGACTCTGGTTTCATTTCATTCCCCTTGATGTTACTGTTAGCCTCCGGTCGTGTGTTTCTCAGCAGTAAGTCACCCTAATCGTTTCTGCAGTGTAATTAAAGGGAGCTGTGTTTTAGCTTTAGCAGGTCATGGCTGTCCACCTGCACTGACAAAACTAAAGATCATTTATCAGAGAATCACCTAGACGAGAGGGTCATGTTAACCCCAGAGGAGCCGCAGGCGTGGACGACTCAGGAGAGAGAAAATTTAGTTTAGAGTGGGATACGAGAAAGTCAGAAGAAGTTATAAGCTGAAACTTTCTAAACTTTCAACATGCAAAATACCATGTGGGGTTGAAAACTAACACTGAACCTTCCCCCAAACACATCCTCCTAGTGGGGAAACACGGTGGAGGTAGCGTCATGCTGCAGGGATGCTTTTCTTTGGTTACCCTTGATGGAGTTAAAAGCAGAGCCATCCAGGAAAAAGAAAACCTGACTGAGGCTGCAAGATATTGCAGACTAAAGACAAACTTCAACAACAACGCTGACCAAACAGCAGTTCAGATCAAAGCATGCGTTAGGGTGGCCTAGTCAAAGTCCAAACCTAAGATCAACCATTCTGCAAAGTGGAAACAAATTCGGAACCATCTTTGCAAACTAAAAGCATCGCAAAGATGTGGAAAGACGACTTCAAGCGTTTGGATTTCTGGAATCTTTAACACACACAACAACAACAACAAGAAAAATCTCAAAAACGTAACGCCACAACAACACATCAAAACCCACAGAGCCCAAATCAGTTCGGCCCAACTTAACACCCCAAAAAAGTAACAAGCACCCCCCCAACCCCCGCACAATGTGACGGATTATCAATGTCAAATGAAGACGCAGGAGGCAGAGCCCAGCACGAAAATATCTGATCTAGCAGCGGTTTTTGATGAGTGAGGTGAACCTTTTCCTCCTGTGTCGGTGGAGAAGACCTAATCAAAGCCGCACAAGCGCCAAGGTGCTACCCAGCGATAACAAACGCTGCCTCCCTGGGTGATACAGCCTCGTTTGGGTTGCCTACGTGCGTGAATCTGCCCGCTTATTTTGTGGGCATGTGACTGCAAGCATTCTCAGCGCGCTCGTTGCGAGGAGCAGCGCTCTCCCACCGCACTTAGACGAGCTGCGTACCTGAAGGCGCACAAGACTCTCGCTTCAGATCTGCATGCAAAACAAGAAACACTTTCAAACAGCAGCACACGGGCACGCCGACATGGACAAGAAGAAGAGGTGCGTTCAGGTGCGGGAATGTGCTCAGTCAAGCGGGGCTACTTACCCATGTCTAATGTTGCCACACAGTCGGCTCTAACGTGTGAATATTTCATCAAGATCATTTACAATCCATTTAGCCGAGACACGTTTTTTACACAAGCGACGGATGGGATGACAGCCTCCCGGGGAGCTGTCAAACGGTGCCGGGGAGTAAATGTGGATGGATTTTTCTCTGACAGAAAACCCCGGGGAAAATGGCGTCAACAGCGCTTTGGAAAGAGAGGAGCGAGGGGGGGGGAAATAGGACTTGCGGGCGATCCGATGAGAATCAAGGTTGCAAAAAAA